TAATGCAAATAAATGCTGCAGGAAACTATTTATTTAAATAATAAAATGAAAAATTATATAGAATGAGGATTATGTGTGTCAATAAGGTTTACAAATAGAAATAAAAAACATAAGTACTGAAGGATATTAACAACATTTTTAAGATTGTGGATGAGACAAAAAGTATTTGCATTTGAGAAAATTCTTTTAGTACCTCAACGAACGTACCCTCTCTCAACTTTTGCAGTACATTCTTGAAAATCGTAAATAACCAATCTCAACTTCTCATTTCACAACGCTTTTTGTTATTTCCACAAACATTGCTATAGTGGGAATCATTTTGGTATGGACGAGGGTCCAAGTTAATGGACCGTCGGCGTCAGGGAGTTTCAAAAGATAAATAGCAAGAACTAATCTTATTTACTTACTGATCAAGTTCATTGAAATCTCTTGATCTTATCAATTTTTTGTTGTAATTTCATTCCTTATCTAATAGTGTAGGTATTATCATATACATTGAGATATAGTTTTGGTAATTTACTACTACAGTTACACATTTGTATTGGAAGTTGGAATAAATATGATGCAATTAATTGGTATAGTTTTGGAAGTTTAGGGCCAGATAAACAATCTTTAAAGTCTGTGAAATCCCTTACAATTTTGGAAAACGTGTGATTTTTTATTAGCATCTTAAAAGTTATTGCTATTTAAAGTTTATTTTTGGAGGGGCGCATATCTTTCGTTGTGTCTAGGGGCACAAAAAATTTAAATCCGCCACTGGTACTATGGCTAAATTTAGCCGCTTGACATTTTGACTTTTATGTTAAAATGACGTTTGGAATCCAAATCATAATTGCCCATTCTCCTAAATGATATTATTATACAGGGTCGCTACTAAAGATGGAACAAAAGCTCTCACGCTTAAACCATTTTGAGATATAAACGTGAAAATCAGAAAGTTTCCATTTGCAATTATTTCACATATTTTGAGGTTAAAAAAATTTGTTTGCACATTGTTTTTGAATGCGACCGCCATCTTGAATTTTTTTGAATGGAAACATAAGTCATGTGATACGTCATTAGAAAGCTTATTTTTTTCTCTTTCTTACTACTTTAATCACGAATTGTGTTAAATTACAAAACAATGGGGAAAAAACTCTGTCAAATGGTCCAGATCACATAAAATTAAGATGCAATACATTAGCCACCCAAGCGAATGGTACGGCTTTTCTAATTTTCATTTAATAAAGATTTAACGATTTTTTAAATTGAATTTTTAATGTTAGTTTTTGAACCCCCTGTATTTATTCATAATCATAATATCAACACAGTCTACTGTAGCAGAACCTCTTCTAAATTTTAAATTAAAAAATAACTGCTTTCATATAGAAAAAATTGTTATTTTATTATTTTGGCTGCAAACGCCATTAAGATAAACATTAAAGTGTGTCTAAAATGTAGATGAAATGTTATAACATTTACGTAGAATCTAAAAATAAGCAAGTAGGCATCAACTTCCGATATCACCGAAAGTGTCGCAAACTTGAAAATTATGTTTTTATAAATTAAAAAAAAAAGAGGGACTAGACAAAACTTGACCAGACAAACGACATACAGACAGACACTAATCGTTATTTGATTTAAATCCGTGCGATAGTTAATCAGGCTATCTCTGATAACTGACATGAAGGACAGCTCAGATGAGGATCTTTTATTGACATTACTATACCTACTGTTAAATTTTCAAAACATTCCTAGGCCTCCTTTTTGAAATATAGATAGCTGGCGTTCGTCGTGAGACACCCTGTACTGTATATGTATATAGGGTGCCTAAACAAGGTTATGATTGGCCGAACAAGATGGCGTGTCACGTGAGCGGCGTCGTTGTCGGCTGAACCAGCAGTCAGACGTGTCGAGACTTGTTTGTCTTTGTTTACTTCCATTCATCTCGCTAGTTCGTCGCAACAATTCGTACGTCGTATTTCACATATACACTAAATTTCTATGACTAATTATTCTAGTTTTTATTTAAGAGATGCCTTTAAACCACATACCCCGCAAGATGGCGCCATAATTACCTAATTTTGGAATTTGGAATATTTATTAGACACATAACTTTCGCATTACTGAAAATCATGCAAATATGGGAATACAGCTTTTTTGGGACGACAATTTTCATTATTAACCATAAAAACCAAGTCGAAACTTGCAATACTTAACAGCTTCCTTTGAAGTAGTAGATACTTTTTGAGATACTTAATACCTTCCCACCTACATGAGAAATTAATTGCCCAAATATCTTCTCGCAAAAATTGACAACGAAAGATAATCAACCATGTTGGCAAACCTAGTAAAGTTCAGCTATTCTCTCCAAAGAGGGCGCTTGTTATCACCAAGAATGTTAAATGTGTTCAGTGTGATTTCCAACCAATAATAAATACGACTTGCTTATTAGAAGTCATTTATTGACGCGCTTGGCAAAATCTGGCAACTTGTTTTAAAGGCCTCTGTTAATTTATAATAGCATGTGCACTTCCGCTTCTGCTTCCATTTATGAAAGCTAAAATGTAGATGAAATGTTATAACATTTACGTAGAATCTAAAAATAAGCAAGTAGGCATCAACTTCCGATATCACCGAAAGTGTCGCAAACTTGAAAATTATGTTTTTATAAATTAAAAAAAAAAGAGGGACTAGACAAAACTTGACCAGACAAACGACATACAGACAGACACTAATCGTTATTTGATTTAAATCCGTGCGATAGTTATATCAGGCTATCTCTGATAACTGACATGAAGGACAGCTCAGATGAGGATCTTTTATTGACATTACTATACCTACTGTTAAATTTTCAAAACATTCCTAGGCCTCCTTTTTGAAATATAGATAGCTGGCGTTCGTCGTGAGACACCCTGTACTGTATATGTATATAGGGTGCCTAAACAAGGTTATGATTGGCCGAACAAGATGGCGTGTCACGTGAGCGGCGTCGTTGTCGGCTGAACCAGCAGTCAGACGTGTCGAGACTTGTTTGTCTTTGTTTACTTCCATTCATCTCGCTAGTTCGTCGCAACAATTCGTACGTCGTATTTCACATATACACTAAATTTCTATGACTAATTATTCTAGTTTTTATTTAAGAGATGCCTTTAAACCACATACCCCGCAAGATGGCGCCATAATTACCTAATTTTGGAATTTGGATATTTATTAGACACATAACTTTCGCATTACTGAAAATCATGCAAATATGGGAATACAGCTTTTTTGGGACGACAATTTTCATTATTAACCATAAAAACCAAGTCGAAACTTGCAATACTTAACAGCTTCCTTTGAAGTAGTAGATACTTTTTGAGATACTTAATACCTTCCCACCTACATGAGAAATTAATTGCCCAAATATCTTCTCGCAAAAATTGACAACGAAAGATAATCAACCATGTTGGCAAACCTAGTAAAGTTCAGCTATTCTCTCCAAAGAGGGCGCTTGTTATCACCAAGAATGTTAAATGTGTTCAGTGTGATTTCCAACCAATAATAAATACGACTTGCTTATTAGAAGTCATTTATTGACGCGCTTGGCAAAATCTGGCAACTTGTTTTAAAGGCCTCTGTTAATTTATAATAGCATGTGCACTTCCGCTTCTGCTTCCATTTATGATTCCGCATACGCAAAAAATCTGTTGTCTCCTGTTTCTACTTCTGCTTGCACAGGCCACTTCGCTTTGATCAATTCGTGATTGTCGACTCACGACCTGTTTGTGTTTCAGCAACATTCAAAGGTGTACCTATGAACGGTTTCAGGACCGTATATATTCAGCCTGACGCGGCCGCCGCTTGAATTTACATAGTTTTTATAACACGGCACAAACCGTGAATACAAATGCATAAAAGGCATTATATTGTGTCGTATTTTTATTAATTGACAGTTTTTCGCATCTAATTGGTAGGCAACCGATTCTCATTAAACAACCCAAATTTACTCGATAAAATACAAACCTCTTGAGCAATTATAACTGATAAAAATACGTATACATTAACTTGCTTTAATTAAAATTGATAAAATGAATTTTACATTGCAAAACTAATAATAATACAGATACGTCAAAACCAGGTCATAACTTACCTACAAAATTGATCGCAGACTAAAACTTTTTCGTAATTGAGACATTAAGTAGAACAAATGCTGAGTAATGGTTTACAGATTAAAGAAAGATTGACTGCAGATGCCGCGGAACCGTGGTACTATTTAAATGTTTATTATTCTACAATGGTTGAAATAGATATAAACACAGTATAGACATAATATACAGTTTATCTTTTATACATTTTTTTGCATCTCTTTTGGTTTGCACATATTCATTTTGCAGGGGTCTTTCAAACAGTTATGGTATGCGTTTCAAATTGCACTTTTAATGAATTTCACATTGTTCACAATCCTGCAGGATATTGTAATCCTCTGAAATTCCCTTAGAGCCCTTATTTTCGCAATCTTCTCAAAATTCAACCTTGCCGCCTTAGTGTCAGTTACTGTACCTACTCCCAGTGTTTTTAAAACACTTATGAATGATCCAGGTATTTTCAAAAACTTTTCAGTTGCACCTCGACTATTTTTAAAAATTGCAATCAAGTAAGTACAACCACAAATAATTAAACCTGATTCTCAATTTTTTCAGATTCATAATTTACAAATAAATCAAGAGCAAATTCTTGACAATTATGTAACTTCAAGGTGGTTCAGAATCAATAAAGAAAGCTACAGGAAACTGGTTTTTTTATCTTAGACTTTACCGAACTTGACCATTTCGAAACAAACAAAAAGTATACTCTACTTTTCCCATTACCCACAGTATTTACATTGTAACTGATAATTACCAAAAATTATACACCTTTGTTAAATGCAAATTTGGGCAAAACTGTGATAAATAAAGCGAGCAACCCACAACAGTAATTTGTAAAAATCATGCTAGGTGAATAATAATCAAAAAATAGTTAAAAGTAAATGATTAACATACCTCGTCAAAAAATACTTGGGTTTTTCGTAAGATCTGCTTTAACTCCGTTAATTCCAAGAAATTTCGTTTCAATGCCTCTGCATTTTGATTCACTTCTCGGAGTTCGTTTTCTAATTTCTCAAAAGTTGCCTGGAAATTCGACAATTAACATATTAACATAATAACTTACAAAAGCCTACCTCAAGATCGATCATTTCTCTCGGCTGGGGCGCTTCCGGGTTTTCGCCAGTGTCAAGCATAGGTATACCGTCCTTCTTGATTTCTTTTTCCAAGTACCGTAGCTTTCTTTCCATTTCATCACAACGCCTTACTTCGTTGACAAATTTTCTTTGAAATGCATTCACATCTGGATTCAACTGTAAAATAGTACAGTAAGATGCAGACTGATTTTTAGTCGCCACTTACGTCTCTAAATTGCACTAAACCAAGTTCACCTAATTCGGACACACAGGCATAAGCAGCCTCACTTTGAAGGAAAAGTTGACACAGGGTCATTTCCTCACTGCGGAAAAGGGACCCCATTTCTCTGAACTTTGATGATGATTAATATGACCAATTTATAATATCACCAACTATGCATCACCCAAATTCACTAAGCGAATTAATTTATCTACCAATTTGTAAATTTAATTGACCATTTAAACTAATTTAACCAAATTGAAGTATGCCGTATAACCTGCCGTAATTCCTCTCGCTGTTTAATTTTTGTGAAAGGAAAAATCATTATTGAACCAAAGTTCAATGCGCATGTCCTCGACGTCATGATAAGTCGTACGGGTAAATTCCACTTCCAGGATGTAACTAAGTAAGCGAGTTTTGCAAATAATGATCGTCTGTTCGTCCGTCTGTCCGTCTATGTACATGGTTAACTCGCGAACGGTTTCGAATTGTTCAATTCTATTGTACAACTAATAGTTCCAATGGTTAATTTTCTGAACCACTTCGCAATTTTCTTGTCTATTTTGTTTGCCTGTACTACAAGGCGGAATGGTACACGAATCAAATCCTCTGATTTTCTTGACGAGTTTCAGAATCTTTTCTCGGAGAAAATTTTGTGGAATATATTTGATCTCGCGGTATCCACGCTGTTACATTTTTTCACCGAATTACTGTGACGTGCATAATAATTCCGTCCGACGGTTGTGAGAGTCGGCACATATTCGTATAACTCACGAACGGTTTCGAATTTTCCAAGCCTGTTTTCGGTAGGTATTATGTTTTATCATCACACATTGTTGAACTGGTTAAAATTTCAATGGCCGATAAAACTCATCCATATTTTTGTTTTAGTACTCTTCCTGAACGTCCGGGACAATAAAGTGATTTTCCAAAAATAAGGGGCGTGTGTAATTTTTTTTAAGAGCTTTCGGCAGGATTTTCGCCGGCACCGTTGTCGATTCTAATACAACTTTTTATGGCGAATCCAATGAAAATTATTAGAATCGTCCGGGCGTTCAAGGTATACTTTCCTACTGGGCTCTTGGACTATACCAAATTTCTTATTAGAAGACAAAGATGATGCGCTATTATTAAGTTTATCCAAATCCCAACGAAGTAACTAAATTACATCAATACTTTTGACTGTCAAAGACGCGTTTTTACCATCCGCAGGTTAGTAAGGGAGGTATTGCACTGGGGTAAAAAAATGACCCTCCACCTTTTTGACGGAAATACACGTTTTTCCGAATCAAACAAAATCTAGTTGATGTTGGTCTGTCGGTCCGTCTGTATACTTTCATTTCTTGCTAAAGGGTTGAACCGATTAGATCCAAATTTGGTACACATATTCTCAAACATAAAACGAAGAACCAAAAAGCTTTTTGGCAGAATCGCGCATGCGCAAATGTGTCATTCTCATTTCTGGTTAAACGGTTGAACCCACTGGAACCAAATTTGGTGCATATTCTTAAGACGTAAAAAAAAAGGACTGAAAAGCTTTTTTTCATATATCATAGCAAAAGAATATGAAATATAAATAATCTGCAGAAAATTAGAGAAAAGTTTTTAATACATCTTCACTTCGCCTGTATCCTTCACCACACAAAGTATTAATAAATTAATAACTGTTTATTGTTACAAAACTTGTGAAATTTGACACTAAGGCAATGAATTACATTTTTTAATAATACAAATGCTGTAAATGTGAATGATAGAAATATAACGTTAATACACAAAGCAGCTGAATTAAAAATTAACAATGTCCACGATCTTCAACTCGCCGACGAGGTGCTGACTTGAGAATATTATCAACACGCAAGATCATTTCAGCAGCTTCAACAGCTGACAGCAACACTTGGCGTTTTACTACGAATGACTCGGTAATCCCCAACTGTTTCACATCTCCAATCTTGTTTTTTTCCATATCTAAGCCCATTGTACTTTTACCATTTACGTGGGCCGCACGTAATTCACTGACCAATTGAGCCGAATCATAACCTGCATTATCAGCAATTGTAGTTGGTAATTGTTGCAAGGCCCTACTAAATGCCTCCATTGCAACTGCTTCCTTACCAGCAGTTTTGACTGCAGCTGCACTTACAGCAACAGCCATCAACATTTCGCTACAACCACCACCAAACACAATCCTAGACTCTTTAACAGTGGCAGCCAACACGCATAATGCATCATGCAGAGATCGTTCTGCTTCATCTACTATCTGCCGTGTAGCTCCTCGGATGATAATAGTGCAGGCCTCACCAAGAGCAACACCACCAAACCTCAACAGAATATCCTCACCAATCATAACTTGTTCGATGACGTCACATTTACCCAACTTAACCATCTCTGGATTATCAAAGGTGGACACAATTTCACCCCCAGTAACTAAAGCTAGACGTTCAATACCGTCAAAATCAGCATGCTCGATTGCCATTACTCCAGCATCAGCAAATAATTGCTCTGGGTAGTTATAAATCAATTGTCTATTGATAAATACGTTGCAGTTATGTTTCAAAATTTTATTCACCTTGTCCTTCATCTTTTCCTTTTCTGCACTTTCCAATTCGGCAATCTTTGCCATGGAATCTACTTTTATGTGAGATCCAAAAACCTTAATTTTATCAGTATCCATTGGAGTATTTGCGATTAAAATCGAAGCATTTTCAATTCGTTTCGGTTGATGTATGCCAACCTTTTTGTCTAATAGAAAGCCATCATCTAAAAACGAATCTTCCAATGTACCACCCTTCTTCTTAATAATTTGAATTGCTTGAAGATCGCCTGATCCTTTAAGTCTCAGCACAGCATCCACAGCAAGCTTGGAGAAGTGTTCTTTGTAATGAGATAAAATTTTGGAACTTAGCGTAGTACGTGCTATATTCATAAGATCTTCTTTAAATTTGTCAGAATTTGCACTATTGTCGTACGAAGCAACTTGTAAGGCATTACGTGCAACCTCTATGGCTTTTCTCCATCCTGCAATGATTGTTTGAGGATGGATTTTCTGCTCAATTAACTTTTCTGCTTCCTTTAACAGCTCGGATGCTAGAAATGAGAGTCACAAAATGCATTGTAGCTTGTTGAGAACTTACCTAGCACCGTTACAGATGTTGTGCCGTCACCCACTTCGTCATCTTGCACTTTAGACATGTCCACCAAAATCTTAGCGGCAGGATTGTCAACACCCACCGACTTCAAAATTGTCGCTCCGTCGTTGGTCACTTCGACTTGCCCAGCACTTCTACCACTAGAAATTAGAATTTTATCCATTCCTTTTGGCCCTAATGTACTTTTAACTAAGTCGCCAATTGCTGTAGCTCCGACAAAGCTAGACAATCGCGCTATTTCCGCCTTTTCTTCTTCGGCGTCATATTTTAATATACGGACTGGATTAAGCGAAACCTACAATTGAAAATTGCGTAAATCAGTTGTTACATTAATGAAAAAACCGCACGTGGGTATAACCCTTTTGTTAATAGTTACACCTGCAACTATGAAGTTTAATAAGAATCTAAGAATTGATAGAGACGTATAGTTAGAAAATGTTTAGAAACCGGCATTTATTAAAATGAATTTGTATATACTAACCATTGTTTATTAAACTTCTTTACTATCAAACCGATCGCTTTTTCAGTAAATGCAAAGAAGGAAAGAATAAGAATCTGTCAAATGTCAAATTAAATTAATAAAATGCAGTTAATACACCGTTGTCACGTTTCCTTCTTATCCGATTAATGTTGTTTTAACCAAGACCACATTTTCGGAATTCGAAAAGTTTAAAATAAAACTACAGTAACACAGTCTTCTAGAGTTTAGTAGTTATGCCACTAATCCAACGCATTCCACCAACCTTAATATCCTGTTTACATAAAGTAGGCAACACACAATGCGACCCCAAAAACTGCAAACTTTTGACACATTACGGTCCCAAAACTTAACTTGCACGAAATGGAAAGGCTTTCTTTTAATAATCAAATTTGTCGAAAACATTTAAATTTTGACAAATTTGTGTCCATTTGGTAGAAAAAAGTGTTTTCTGTTTTGCCTATTTCACTCAATAGCGTAATTCCAGTAAACATTTACTGAAAAAATAAATGCTCACGTTAAATTCCATATTATTTATAAACAAAACAGATCCAGAATCGCAAACGACTCCATCTATTTTGACGTAACCGTAATGGTGTCTAAAGTCTGTTTATATTTCTCAAATTGGTAAAAAAAATAAGATCACTTTCTTATTTGCTTCGTAAATGGTTTTTTTACCCATAACATTTAACGTAGTGATCAGATCTTGACCAATTTCGGCGATTATTTTAGACCCTTAGAATGCAAATCGAGCAGATTTTGAAGTCATTACATCTTAAGGCTGGACATTAATTTTGCACCAAAACATTAGAAGCCTAAATAAAAATTTTGAGTTTTTTGTAAGTCAATTGCAGTGCTATGATATTAAACCACATGTAATCGTTTTGTCGGAAATCTGGGCCCAAGAATCGGAAATAAAGCAGTTTAGTTTAGATGGTTACAAAATGTTTTGGAATTGTAACGCCAATCAGAGAAGCGCAGGTGTATGTATATATGTAAATAATAATTTTAGGCAGGTGGTCAGTAACAAATCCGAATTTGAAAGATTTGATTGCGTACATGTTACTTGCAAACTTAATAATCTTAAATTTGACATCATTGGTATCTACAGGCGTTTATCATTTAGCATTTCTGAATTCATTGACGAATTGGAAACATGGCTTGAATCTGTGATTACTTCTCACGTAATTGTAGCAGGTGATATCAACATAAACACTGATCCTGATAACTTATCGCCCGATGCAGAAAGGTACTTATTATGTATGGCAGCAATGGGTTATCAGGAATGCATCACTGAAAATACCAGGATAACAACTAGGTCAAGTTCGCGATTAGACCACATTTTCGTGAAAGGTAATAAAGAGGATAAACCCATGCAATCAGCAGTTGTTCACGTCAATATTACAGACCACAGTTTAATTGCAGTCAATATTCCCGTAAATGTCTTGAACAATTACCATTGCAAAAGTAATTCTGATTCAACATGGTTATCAATAAATTATGATTCGATTAACAATCTACTAAAAGGCAACAAATTGGGAATTTATTTTATCAGAAAGCGATGTTGAATTAGCAGCTAATATTTTTATTAACTATCTGCAAAACTGCATTGAAAAGTCTACCGTGGTGAAGCATCGCTCACGAAAATTAAATAGTAATAGTACCTAATAGTAATAGTTTATTGTATACAAGATGTTACATCTCATTACAAGAGCCTTCAGAATCGAACAGTTATAGTAAAAAAAAGAAACGGAATTTTAAATCTATAAACAGAAAATTTAAATTATGGATGTAGGTATTGTATCTATAGTATCGTTTAGAAAAAAGAACAACTCTAAATATTAACAAAACTCACAACTTGACCTACCAAAATATTTCTCTTTGATTGCTGGTGAACATGTAATTGAAGTTATTTGAGTTTTTAGACAGATTTGAGGTAAAATTCCAAGTTACACACAGGCAAAAAATATCGCACTGACTGTTGTTACCGTCTATAAATTCATGGAAATTAGACATACCTTGAACATTTCAAAAAATCACATTTAATTTCTAGTGTTTATTACTTGAACTGAAGATTTTGGTGTTTTGCTTTTCTGGAGTTGCATCCTTCCCTTCACCCCGGCGTTTTGAATCTTCGTCTAGTTGGACAATTTGAGGAGATTGGTTGACGTATTTGATAGTAATATTTCTTTCTCCTTGATCTTGACGGGTTTTTAATTCTTTCTGGAGTGATTTTAAGTGTTGTAACTGGTTCTTGGTCAAATCAGCTTGGATCTTAATATTGTGGTATTCTGTTGGCAGCAGTTTTTTCTTATTAACAAGAATCATCCTTGAGATTTTGGAATCGCAGAATGATACTTTGAGAGGTCGTGGACGACCTGCAAATTTTCCGATACGAGTACACTCGATAACTTTCTCAGTGGCGTCAGGGGCAATGACACTTATAACCTTTGTTGCCAATTGATGATCCTCAAAGCTATTGGGCACGGAGATTTCTTCTGATAAGCCAAACATAATAATATTGTTCTCTCGCTTAATCCTGTCTCGAATCTCACGGTAGCTGTTTTCAGTGTTACGGGTATCATGAAGTTGGTCTTCAAGCAAAAGGATTTTTTGTTTTAAATTATAGTTTTCAGTTTTAATTAGTTCGATTTCCTTTATGCAGACAGATAATTGTTCGCCCTGATATTTCAATAGCGCATTGCTGTCCTGGACATTTTTGTTTATGGCCAAGAGTTGACACATTAAATTTTTGAAATGCTCTTCAGTGAAAACGAAGTTTGTTAGCGTACCGGTACCCATTTTGGAGTTCGGCGTCGAAAAATTACAACATACCCAAGTGCTATTCCTACCGCCTGTGCTGGTACAAGCCATGTGTGCAAGACTCCCACATTGCGCGCAACGTACATCCTCTTGGTATTGGATAAGGCGATTGCAAACAGTACAATTTGCCGGCATTGGTAGAATAATAATATTATCAATGAAAAAGAAATAGTAGATATATGGTATTCAAAACTTCTATTTATCACAACTCGACGGATTACACTTGTTTTGCTTATCACTTCACCTTTTGGCGTAAAATTTTATATGATTAATAGTCGAATTATTACTTTCAGAGATTTGATTTTAATTGAGATATTTACGAATTCGTTTTATAGTCCTAATGCCATACATGTATACTGTGCCGCGTCCAACTGAAGACTCAAAATTAAATTATAAGTTAACTCGGTCACGCTATTTTTGAACACATAAAACGTCGTAACAAACTGAATGCAATTTTAAAACAGCAACCACTAAATAAAACTTTGAGAGACAAATCCAAATTAATTCAGGAGGAACTTGACCGAATGATTAATCGAGCAAAATCAGATTATTATATCAATCTAATAAAAAATAATAGCGTACAAGATAGTTGGAAGGTAATTAATTCCTTGTTAGGAAAAAAAGGAGGGAAAAATATTTTACAGTCTGTGTCATACAATGGATGTGATTACTCAGATCCGTCGATCATTTGTGATATTCTAAATGAAGGGTTTATAGAAACCCCAACAAGGCTAGCAAAGAATTTTGATAACATTAATGAAATACTCGACCATAATACCTTCCAACTATTTCGTACTGATGCAAATATGTTTTTATTGCCAGTTGATGAACCAGAAATTAAATGTATTATATTAATAGCTTAGCCAATAAAAAGTCAACTGGGCATGATGATATCGGAATAAAAACCCTAAAATTGAATTCCAAAGAACTAGCAGTACCGTTATGCTACATTGCAAACTTGAGCTATATATCTGGTATATATCCATCTGTTTTTAAAAAATCTATCATTATCCCAATTCATAAGAATGGAGAAACAAAAGATGTAAACAATTATCGACCGATATCTTTAGTATCTAACGTTGCTAAGATCATTGAAAAAGCCACAAATAAACGCCTCGTGAATTATCTAATGCAAATAAGTTTTTTTTCAAAGAATCAATTCGGTTTCATTAAGGGTCTGGGTACTGAAAAAGCATTAATGTCTATTATGGCTGACATTTACAGTAATATTAATAATCGGTTAAAATCAGCCGGGCTCTTTATTGATGTCCAAAAAGCATTTGATTCTTTGAACATAAAAATACTTCTGTATAAATTAGAACAAGCGGGTGTCAGGGGGGTGGCAAATCATTGGTTTAAAAGCTTCCTTACAAAAAGGCTACAGGCTGTTAGAGTGGGTCAGACTGTGGGATCATGGCGAACAAATGATTGTGGAGTAGGAGTACCGCAGGGATGTGTGCTATCCACAACTTTATTTTTAGTTTACGTAAATGATTTGTGCAATGGAAGGTTTTGTGGAAGGTTAACAGCCTTTGCGGACGACACAGCGCTGTCGTACGGTGCTGCCGATTGGTCTGCTCTAACAACTATTATTCAAAAAGATAGCAACAAAATTAGTAATTGGTTTACTGCAAATAAATTGAATATTAACATCACGAAAACTAAAATAGTATATTTTAATCTCAAAGGTGAATCTCCATCCGCTGATTTGGTAGTGAAGTGTCATAATCCAAGTTGTACTAATAAGCAGCTATGTCAATGCGAAATAATACAACGTGCAATTAGGGAAAAATATCTAGGATTAATACTGGACAACAAACTAAAATGGATCGATCATATTACTCACACAAGGAATTTGTTGTACATTATGATAAAAAAATTATATTATTTAAGAAACTTTTTGACCCTAGATGCACTAAAGACCGTGTATTATGCAATTATTCACTCACGAATACAATACGGAATTGCTTGTTGGGGCGCTGCTTATGATGCCTCACTACGCCCATTAATTAGTATACAAAAACACGCGGTAAGAATTATTACTTTTCAAAATAAATTAGCTCCCTCTTTTCCCATTTTTCGAAATTTACAAATTTTAACAATCAAAAATTTATTTATCTACAAAGTACTGAAAGAGTTCTTCGAAAGGTCCGAGTGTTTTAGAACTAAAAAATATGAAAGACATACGCGAGGTAAAGACAAGGATAAAGTAAAGCCGCTCAAACCTAATTTTACGACCTTTCGAAAAACTTTTCTTTATGCCGGTCCCATAATTTATAATTACATAGTTGATCATTGTCCGGAATTGTGTAGGAATGTAAAGCAATTAAAGAAATGGC